AACAACCACGAACTAGTAGATATGAAACGACATTGCTCATCGCTTGACTGGCGACATGCAGTCAGAATCTGTACGAATAGCTCAGGCTTGTAAACCACCATCTCCATTTCTAACGAACCTCTCGCGTATATGGTCCTGCTTGGAAAAGATATTGTAATGGCCCATTGATGCTGATAACGATAGCTGAAATTAGTAAACAGCTAAAATTTATCCCTATAGTAATGCTCATTTCACAGTCTGTGTCTTAGTTGGTAGGTACTAGAGGGTTGAGCATTTGTCCGCCAAGGGAAATTTTACACTAGCAAACATACCAAGGCCTGTCCTTGGCATTCCGCATCAAATATTGATGTTTCAGTATCAATGGGTTGTACTCATAGCAAGAAAAACTCGAAAATTTCTTCAGATAAACCAGTTCCAAAAGTAATTAGTGTGAGTTTATACGGGAAATGAAAGGATTTTCTGACTTGAACTATGCAGTTTAGGTGCCTCTTTCTCAATCTCGGCCACCTAGTGTACAGTAAGTTTCACGCATGTTTTTTACCGGAAAACTCCTAACTAACAGTTATCGCAGGTATTCGATCTCGACAACCTCATTAAGCAGTGACAAGACGGAACGGAACTCACGACAGTCAAAATCAAAACATGATAAAATCAAGGTTTCCCCGCCAAAAGAGTTGGCAACACCAAAAAGTACATTTCTTACAAGCAAAGATGCCTTTTTTCTTTACAAAATGAAACTCTATTGAAGCTGCATCCGTTTACAAGGAGCACGAAAGAAACGTGGAGTATTATCCCGATGAGCTACTAGTATCTACGCCGGTTCATACATCCCCAAGACCGGATCCCATCGAAGCTGCTCGAGAGGCAGCACGAGAAGCCGCTCGTGAAGCTGCAAGAGAAGCAGCTCGAGAAGCGGCGCGTGAAGCTGCCAAAGAAGCGAGAAAAGAACGACGACGCAGAGAGGAAAGACATAGGAACAGGCATCATCCACGTAAGTTTATCATTTCGTAACAAACATAAAGGAAAATCTGCAATGAACGTAGCTTCCAATGGAAAAAAAAGAGTTATGAAGCTTTCGGTAGCGCAAAAGATGAGT